AATTAAGAACCGAATTGATGTAGAGAATCTCATCAATGGTTGCACTATAGCCTCCAGCTAATGCTTTAGCATAGTCATGAGGTGAATTTAATTTCACAATTCCTGACCTCAGCAAATTCCAAGCTGTTAAAGACAGCTCCTTCTGCTATGGGGGGAAAATCTTGAAATCCGATACACTCCTCCTTCGATGCAATTTGTTGTACCGTAAAAAGTGAAGTCAAAGTTACAATATAACTCGATGTGAGCACAAGCACTACAAAAACCGAAACAGTCGCCACAAATCTTGACAAATTACCTGCAGCCTCTCGCCAGCAGATCCAAGAACAATAAGTTTTGTGGGTATATGTAACAAATGTGAATATGAACATTTTTTTTATTAACCTGGATATCCAACCCGCTATGCGAGCCGACTAATCCAGGGTTGAAAAGATCAAATATCTAAGTAAATTGAGATTAGAGTTAGAGAGCTTACTGTGAGCATAAACAAGGATTGAAAAGACAAACCAGAGAGTTGGTCCAATTTGTTGTCTTGTTGAACCTTGAAATTCTTCATTTGTTCAATAAACCAAATCACAAAGCCCAAAAGGAGAAATAAACTAAAGCTTGTGATCATTAGATCTTTACTAAGGGGATCTAAAAAGATCCACGTGTCTTTTTGGCATTTCGTGCTAGTGTGCCAATGCCCATATCACTGATCAAAATAGTGAAGTCATCGTAGAGAGATCTGTTTGCTGTGATTGTTATATTCCCATTCATAAGTTTGAATTCACCACCTACACCATTAAATTTAACTCTTAACATCTCATTGAGAAGGGCTGCACCCATTCAAGATGTGCCACTAATGGTGGTCAAATCTTTTGAAGCTAATTCGGTAGCATGTCATTCTAGTTGTGGAATTGTAGTTTATACCCTTTCAACACCCATTGCTAGTGCACAAACTGCATCATATGCCCATATACCATTAGGATCCAGCTCCTTAAACTCCTTAAAAGGGTTTAGAGAATAATATTCCTTTCTCCAATTCAACTCAACATGAAGCTCCCTTGATGCTGGAAAATATGATTTGGAACCCACTGCCCCCTGCATCAATGCTATAGTTTCAACATCCAAGGAATCCAGGAAGTTTGTAGTCTTACCGGTTATAATTAATCCACATGTATCCTTCACCCTTCATGCCTACCTCTTTTCCCCTGGACAAAAGATTGGATGTAAGCGAAGGCGAATGTAGGCATTACAAACATTGTGGTTTGCACAGTTAGAAGCTTATGAAGCTCGTCCAGGTAGAAATAACATAAACTTCCTAAGAACATTTGCAAAGCCAAGTAGCCTTGTGGGGTTTGACTGATTAGAAATTGAAACAAGAGAAAATGTTAAAACTTTTTCTAGATAACCTAAAAAGGGAGAAAATATCTAATGATAGAATTAACATCACAAGATTTTCCTGTCCTACTTACACGTTCGCAGTACTGTTAGAAAGTTATTCTGAGTTTGAGGCGAGCTCGAACCTGGTAAGCTTTTAACACCCCTACTTATGAGCTATTCTTTTAGGATTACTTAAGTTATCACCGCTATCTATTTTGTTGGTGATACAATGTTCAAGTCTAAAAGAAGTGGTTCGTTTGCTTTGGTTACTTGAGTCTGATTTGTTCTGTGTCTGTGATTACAGCAAAGATGAATCATACCTGTAGAAGACACATAACCTCATTCAGGCATTTCGCTGAGCACTTGCTATGCAAGCATAAACGAGACAAAAAAGAACAAAAAGTTAGTTATCTGTCAGACAACCATGTAACCATGCCAGAACCCATCAGATGGGATGGCAACGATCATCTACTGGGTCATGATCGAGACCATGGTTACCTGTTAATCACGCTCTGGTTACATGGTCGTGGTTCATCAACCAGATATGGGTTTCTGTCTTCTTAGGAATCAAGAATACAGAGGTACGAGCCTATAGAACAGATCCTGTTCAAGTAAGGTCGTGCCTTCATCTCCGTTCCTTCAAAATATAAACAGAATTTATATTGCAACAATGGCCGATGTGGGAGAAGACCCTGCGTCCCTGGCCATATATGTTAGCTACGCTTTTTTAACTTGGGCCTAAAGGCCCGGTCACCTTCTAAGTTCTAAGGTTGGTTAAACATCTAATCTCAATTCTCAACCCATTCTTCTAGGCTTAAAAAAACTTTAGAATTTTAAAAACCTGTGAGATTTTGTTTTACATCATTTTTTTCAGTCTAAAGTATAATATTTAATATATTAATTAACATATATTTGTTTTATAATATGTTTATTATATATGTACTTGGTTCATAATATGAAAATTTTCTATGTGTATGTTTTGTTTCACAATCATGGCACATTGTGAACCGAATACATGTGAACCAAATATCTTAATCTTAGGGGCTGTTTGGCAATTGCTGAATGGTTTAGTGCAGAATGATTAAAAGACTCTCATGATATAGAACAAAATGAAATATAATTGTTTGGTAACTGTGTACAATGAAATTAGGGCTCTTAATGGTTAAAGAAGATCCATGATACAAAATTACTCAGAGGGTTTTAGAACCATTAAGAGACAGACTTTTTTTTTCCAAACAAGATTCACTTCTTAACAATTCATAGGTTGCCTCTTAATGGAACTATTAAGAGGTAAACAAACAACCCCTTAGATGGAAAAAAAATATGACATAAAACATGATACACAAGTTCTCTATGTTATCACAATTTATTGGGTTCTCAAAAGAAGGTACATCTCTCTCTCTCTCTCTATATATATATATATATGTGTGTGTGTGTATGTGTGTGTGTATATATATATATATATATAAAGATAGAGAGACACCTAATCAAATAAGAACTGTGTAGTTTGTGATAATCATAAGATCGAATGTATACCACTCATTTGAGATATTTAACGATATTTCTTAAACAAAGTAAAAAGGTAATTTAGTAATTTTATTTATAATAACTCATAAAAAGATTTAATTATTTTTTTAAATAAAATATTTGATTCATATTAATGACCTAATATGTTAATTGCCTAATATATATATATAGTCTTTTAAAGATGTTGTTGTGGATCCAAGTGCATCAATCATAATGTTCATAATTTATTTTCATTGTTTTATAAAGTGTATCATGGTATGTATTTTTGTTACTTTCGTTGCTTTAGAAAAGGCATTACAATGAGTATTTTTGTTACTTTAGTTGCTTTAAAAAGGATCATAATGTGTATTTTTTTGTTATTTTAGTTATTTTACAAATGTATCACAATGTACATGTTGTATATATATATATATACGAGTATCACAGTGAAAGTCGTGCGTACATATCTTTTTTTAACAATATTTTTCTATTTATCGGAATAAGATTTACCGGAATAAAGAAAAGTGTTTTTAACTAATATTTTAGGTTAAATTCATCATAATTATTAATTTCTTAATTTAAAATTTGATTTGCGGTTAAAAATGATTCAGAAGAGGACAACTCTACTTTATGAAAATGCAAAGGACTCCAAATTAATTAGACCATATTACGACCAGAGACTTTTACGATCTATGCCTATGGTATATGATAAAACGAGAATCATCGAACTGGAAACTAAGACATCGTTTATCAAATGTTTACCTGAGTAAGCACTTACCAAGTAACACTACCTTAACGAATGAATATAGTAAGGAATAGGAATCTTACCTGGTAAGAGTGAGACAAAGATCAAGAGTCTTACTTATTAAGTGAGGGCGATGACTCTTACCATGTTAAGCGTTTACCGGGTGAATTGTTGTATATTATGTTGTTTTGGTGGATTAAAATCTTACCCCGATAAGTACGTAATAATATTAAATTTTACCGGTAAATATTTATCATGTAAATGCTTGATATCGATGGATTACCTTGAATTTGAAGAAAACCCTCGAAAACCAGAATTTCCTTGAGCAGCCGATTTCCTCCTTTGCTTCTCACTGTTTCTCTTGAATCACAAAGGCCTTTCGTTCTTCTTTCAAGACGAACATGGGGAGATATTCCCTGTGTTTTATGGTCGATTGTAGAACCATAATTTCTCTCACAACCTCCATCCCCATGAAAATGGGGTTTCCCTCCTTAAGAAGTTGAAATATTTCCGTTTCCGAATTTTACAGAAAATGGGACTTCCTTTTTACAAAGTTTCTCCCTCAACCTCTATCCTCCTTACACTTTAGCCCCTCAACTATAACTCAATTGACATTTACAGCCCAACTTCTATGACTATTTTATTTTATTCTTTTTCACGTTTCTTTTTTTAAATCAAGCGATATGAATATTTTTTATACATTTTTTTCTTACACTTTATTGATCCATATATCCACAAGGTTCTATATTTTTTCTTCACACTTTCACTCATTTCTAAATTATTTGATCACTAAAAATCAATATACCGCATAAACGAAAAATACCAACATTTAGGATGTTACACTAAAATACATAAATCAATTTTCCCATGGTCTGCCACTAACATTTGCCACGCACATAGTCTTCTAAGATACAAAAAGACAGTGGTGGATCTAGAAACTTTTATTATTGGGGGAACCTTTTAAGGATGTCAAAAAAAGATCTGAAACCGAATAACTCTTTCGAACCAATATGATTTTGGGTTATTCGGTTTTGAATATTGTTGTCTACTAACATTCATCTTTCACGACACATATTTCACAATTAAAATTTTCTCCAGAGAATTGAAGGGTACCATCTTTATAACTAATTAATATGCATTTAACTATTTTAATTTGTAACTCAAATACATTGGATTATTGATTTAAAGCAATTACAACTATGAAATGCCAATATCAAATTATATTTATATCTTATATAACTTTTCTTGTTACTAACACGATGACGACCCCATATTTCATATGATCATCGTGCGTTAGCTAGTAACATGGGAATTAAAAACAAGAGTAGCTAGCTAGTGCGGTAGTAACCAGCAAAACTCCCAATACATCAACAAAAGTTTGTGGACCTTAGAATAAACCAAGGCCATAGCCATAGTTATGGATGTGAGAAGCACTAGAAGATGATGATATGATAGGGGGAGGTTTGATATCATAGTGATCAAGACCACCTCTAATATTATTATTAGCACCGAAAATTGGCACAGAGTTAGAATTCTCGACAAAAAGCTTGTTAGCTTGTATTGCTACAGTCTTCTTAAGTTCCTCCATTGAATCCTTCAGTTGTTCAAGCTCATGGAGAGTTAGGTCTGCAATTGGTGCTTCCCACCAAAACTGGCTCTGACTAGCCTTTCTCATTTCATCTAGTGTCTCACTTCTTTTTTTCTCAACTTCTAACTCATTGAGCAAGTGCGTCAGCTGCATGTTTAGCTCAGGAATGCTAGCTATCCTATGAGCCTCTATGACATGTAAACTTGTGGAGTTAAGTTTTGGGTTTCGGGTCAGAAATCTATCAACAATTGACTCGACTTTAGGATGTCCAAAGGAAAAAACCTTTCCAGCCGGAGAGAATACCACAATAGCAATTTCAACCCCGCACAATGTGCAAAGCTCACTAGCTTTCTTGAAGAGCCCTGACCGTCTCTTCGAGAAGGTTACCTGTAGATGGTTTTTTATCTGGATTTTCGCTATCTTAATCTTTTGTCGACCCAAACTTGGTTTTTTAGCCATAGCTCCAGAGGTTCAAAAGAAATACGACAAAAATGGAGACTCTCGGATAATGATCTTTCGAAAAAAATATGGCAATTTATAGGCGGCGAATTAAGTAAATACTTACTGTGGTGTTTTAATTGCAATTAATTATTGATTAGGAGTTAAAAATCTTCATTTTTAATTCATGGATATCAAGAAAATCAATTTCTTGTTTTTAACTATTTGACTTTTACATGCAAAGATAAGTTACAAAGTCAACAC